GAAAGCCATGCAGTTAAATTTCAATAACATTAACCAGCTCCTTCTACTCATAGGAAATTCAAGGAATAAAAATCGGAAGAGTTCAAACATCAGGTAAGAGTGGGAAGGGAACACATTTAACTGAGTAGCATCAAGAAACAAGTAAAGGTTCGGGATTGTTCTTGCTCTTGGGTCAGCACGTTCTCATCACCTTCACTGGTCCACAAAGTATAATTCTGAACAGAGGCGATGTGGTTTACTACTTGTTCAATAACAGTCTGAGATGGTTTTATGGAAGGGGAGGAACTGGTGAGCAAACAACACAACTATCATTTAAATTTCAGGTTTCAGAATCCCCAAGTTTCCCTCAATGAATACCGAGAGTCCTGCTGCTTTGCCTTGTCCAGAGTAAGCTGAGATTTCTTCCATGAACAAATATCCACTATTTTCCTGTTGGCATCTTTTGTTTTCTCTTAACCACTGATAGTTTTTACAAGTGGAAAAACAAAAAAATCTAGTAACGATGCAGATTTGGTTAAAACTTAAGAAAAACATGTGTAAAATAATACAGTCACTGAAACAGAGACAAGAGACACGCAGGAGGTACACCAGGTAGTTGGCAAGGCTACAGGCTTTTAATTCTTACAGTTCTTTCAATGATCACAAAAATAGAGACAGAGAAAAAGCAAAATAACCTGCTCTAGGTTACACAAAACAGTGGTATAACTATAAAAGTGTTAGTAATCCAACAATAATAACCATTATTCTCTCAGAATAATCTGTTGACTCTCAGTTCAAAGACTTGAATAGCACATGGAAAATTAAAACCAGATAAAGAAAACAAAATTATTCTTTTTTTTTTGACATCAGTTATTTTATTTTAAAGAAAAAAAAAACAATGGTACAAAATCTCAAAACAAGATTTTAGGAGAGTAACAATGGTTAGTACATTGTGTATTGTTACTGCCAAAGTAGTTTCTCATATTACAAGATATAGGCCAGAAATAATAAATAAACAACATAGGTACAAACCTCTTTTTTTTTTTAAAGTCAGCAGAAAATGGAAATATACTTTTTAAAGTTTCTAATACTAGGAGAAGATATCATACAATGTCTTTTAAATAAATTGTAAGTCAAAGATACAGTATAAATCTTAGAACAAAAATTAAGATTAAGCAATATTCAGAAAATTAAATGTTTCAAAACAATTGAACTAAGAAAAAGTTTTCATGATAGCAAAGTACTAAGAGTAAAACATAAGATAAATACTGGAATGGCAAGTAAATGACCAGCACTTCTAACAGTTTGAGGATAGGATATCGCACAAAGTTCTAGTGTGTTGTGGACATGCATAATGACCGTGACAGTTACTGGTGGCTAGGCGTCACTTGTGGAACTGAGCTACAGCTATTTCTTTGAAATCCACCCTGTAGACTCAGGTGGAATCATGACCCATAGGGTGGAAGAGAAGTCCATTTGTAGGGTGTGCTGATGAAAATATTCTGCTGCTGAACGCAAAAGAATAACTGAAAGACTACTATTGTATACCTCTTATTCTCCTCTGTTTAATTGTTTGGCGGGTTCTTTCCATTCTCATTCATGGGGCTGTCATCAATTTGCTCCCTCTCTAGAACATCATTTAGTAGTCTGTGTAGGCTTGGCTTTGTCATCATGAAATTCTTTAGTTGTTCTTTGTCATGAAAATATTTTACTTCTCCATTATATTTGAAAGAGTTTTGCAGGATAGATCAATCTGGGTTGGAATTTGTTAAGAAAACAAAATTATTTAAAAAGTTATAAATCTAGAAATTCTAAATGTTAAAAGAGCAGGGTGCTGCAGATAAATACATATATAAATACATTTTTGATACAAATATATGAGAGATTATGATAACGGAGCTATGACAGACACTACTAATACTAAGGACAAGAATTTAAATCTCAGAACCAAGCATTTAAGCTGAATTTAAATTACAATTCCTGTTATGAAGGAAGTTATAAGCACTCAAACAAGCTACCTGGAAGTCACATAATCTTCTCCGGTAAACTTTTGAGGATTACTTGAGTACTTAGTAGGATACTATTTAAAAGATACAGCGTGAAATAAATCTAGAGGTAAAAATTATGAGCATAAATGGGTCCTTCCAACGGTGTTTCCACGAGTGGTGGAAAGGACACTTTCGATAAGCACACCTTTTTTACTCCTCAAAGCCATCTCCACTCCTATTTTCATTCCAGCAAAGCATGTGGGACCATAATATTTTCAATTTTATGCCTTGGACACTTCTGCTGCATTCTGTGTGCTGAATGCAGCAAACTTAGCTTTGGTGAAAACATAGAGCCTCAGGTAATGATAACTTAAGAAAAACATAGATACCGAATGACTATATCATTTCCACAGAGGGAAGAAGAATTTACACTCTTTCAGAATCAAAGAGGACTGCAAAGAACTTTCTTAATCATAAAGCAGCAAGGAGTGAGGTAATCTTATATTTACGCGAATGGCATAATGACCTGGTTTCCGCTCCTGTGCAGACATCGTTACTAGACCTAAAGTGAATATTTAAACACAAAGTTTGAAATTAACCTCAGTCCTATCTCTGACTAGAACTGAAATGAGATTTATATGGTCTCTCTTAACCCCCATCCCTTTGCTGGGACACAAGTACTCAATGGCGCAGTTCCTGGTGGCGCCCAGCTTCTGTCTGCGGCCCGCCAGCTCCAAGGAAGAAGTGGTGCACGAGAAGCACATGGGAGGAAGGAGCAGGCAGACTGGCAGCCACGAAGCAGAGTTGAGCGAGGGTCAAATTTGATAGTAATGTGTTCTTCCGAGTCACACCACCATTGGCCCACCCTGTCCAACCTGGGCACTCTGAATGTGAGATTTTGGGGAACATTTTACATCTAAGCCATAAAAAGGCCCACCTCAAAGACACAAGCTTACACACACACACACACACAGCCTCAGGTAACCTCATAGCTTGGTGTAGCTGATGCAGTAGCTTTCCACTATCAAATTTACCGACCAGACGTGACTGCCCAGTGTGTGTCGTGGGTATACCTTTTGCATCCAAAGAATCTGTACTCTGGTTTTACTAATTAAAGAAAAAAATCACCTTACATTTTTTACCTAACTTTCTTTATATCAGAATGAGGCTTTACTGGACTAGACTTGATTCTAACTAAGGGCAGACAGTCCCAACATGTTGATTAGCTGAAATGTGTAATCCGTAGGGCATAGGTGCATGTGTCTATAACCCGAGCTACTCAGGAAGCTGAGGCAGAATTGCAAGTTCAAGGTCAGCCTAG